TCATTTTAATCAATTTCTCACATTTCTTAATTAAATTATTAATTTTTACGTTTTACTTTATACGTGACTAGTGAAATAACGTCCATATAAAACACAGCGAATTGTAAATAAATATATCGACACGATTAATCGTTTGTTTTATAGTTCGTACTTATGTTAATCTTCTCTTTCACTTGGACTAAATTTCTGGAAGAAGACAAACGCGCACATAGAATAATAAATGAAGATATAAAATTCGGCTTTTTCTTTCACAAAATAGCGAAATTTTGCGCGTTTAGAAATATTGTCGTTCTTCCAAAGAATTGTAATTGCGTACACGTATAAGGACGATTATTATCGATATCGATGCCGAAGCACCGATCACGATTTTTATTTAGATAAGTTGAACGATACATTCCTACCACTAATGTTCATTCAAAAATAGAACAATTCTATTTTTGCACGTATGTAAAAGGGTTAAAGGTATTACACTCTAAATTTAATTCAATATACGTGTAACGACATCAGAGAATAAAATGTTGCAATCATTATATTATTTCGATATGTTTTTTCTTCCCAAAAATTCTTGCAAAAGTACTTTCAGAAATTAAACTTTTATAAAAAAAAACTCGTATATCAATTAATATTCTTGTTAATTTTCTTTTAAATTTGTGATGGAAAAAAAAAACGATTCAAAATTCGAGCCATTTTTCGTATAGTTTATGGTCTTTGCAGAATCATATGCAAAGAAAGAGAATCTAGTTTTTATAATGGAAGTAGGTAGTCTTCAAAGTCTTTGTTTCATGGTTCGTTTTCCCGCCATAGTCTAGTCACAATAATATCTTTCGAATACTAAGAAAAAATTCTATCTAGCTTAAGATAATTGTGTATCTGTCAAGTTTCTTATAAAATATAAATAAAATGGAAGAATTGGAAAATTTGGGTGATCTTTTGCCGACATATTATGCAAGATTATTTCCTTTTCACGATTATTATCGTTGGCTTAGTTACGGAAATGGTATTATAATCAATCATATCAATGTTTTCGTTATGATTGAAGCAAAACAAACAAATATTAATTTATTTTAAATATTTTATTTTTAAGTTTTAATTAGTATTGATTAACGTTACTATTAAAATGTTTGTATTTTTATAGTGAATACGTTTAACAACAGAGAATTTTCATTTACTTTACAAGGAGATATTTACATTCGTTTCCAATCATTTAAAAATGTGAAAGAATTAGAACTTCAAATCAGAAGACTTCTTCCTGTTAAAATAGATGTAGGAGCAATATATAATTACAGGTAGATATAACAAAATTAATAATTGTTTAATTCTTATTAATTAATTTTTTATCTTTTTTTTATATTTAGTCCAAAAGAGCAAAAAATGAGAGGCACAAATTTTCATCCTGTTGAAAAAGAGCTAGTATTTGACATAGATATGACTGATTACGATGAAATAAGAACATGTTGTAGTGGTGCAGATATTTGTGCTAGTTGTTGGAAATTTATGGCATTGGCTTGTAAAATTTTAGATAATGCTTTAAGATGTAAGTAAATAATAATTAAATATTAAAAATATATTAAATTGTATATATTAAATTTAAATAAAATATTTTAGTGGATTTTGGATACAAACACATTTTATGGGTATTCTCTGGCAGAAGAGGTATCCATTGTTGGGTATGCGATCCTTGTGCACGTACTTTAACTGCAAGAGAACGTGGTGCTGTAGCAGAATATTTACAAATTATAGATGGTGGTGAATATATGAAGAAAAAAGTAAATTTACCTGGAGATAAAATACATCATTCCATTAAGTATGTAATAGTTAAATTAAACTCAATTTCAAGTTTTTTCAATAAGTACTTGAAAAAGAATTTTATATAATTTTAGACGTGCATTGGAAACAATAGAAGCTGTCTTTGTTCCATTTTGTATAGAAGAACAAAACATATTAGGAACAGATGATGGAGTAGAAAAGTTTTTACAGATATTTAACGATGATGAAATTAAACAAGAACTAAAATTACTTTTTGGCCAATGTAATTCTAGCAAGGATAGATGGAATGTATTTGTTAAACATATTAGAAGCAAAAAGACTACGGTACTTATAATACTTGTAAAATTTTATCAACTTTTCATAAAAATAATTTGACATTAAATATGTGATATTAGGGAGACAAAAAATGGTATCAATATCGTCATTTAGTAGAAGAAATAATGCTACAATACGCTTATCCGAGATTAGATATAGCTGTCAGCAAAGGAATGAACCATCTTCTGAAATCTCCTTTCTGTATTCATCCGAAAACTGGTAAAGTTTGTATCCCATTCACCGCGAATACGGTAGACAAATTTCATCCCGATAAAGTTCCAACAATTAAAACATTAATCGAAGAAATAAATGAATACGATTTGAAAGATAAAACCGAACAGGAGACTTATGATTTGAATACAAAAAGGATAAAGGATTATAAAAAAACTAGTCTTAATAAATCATTGCATATTTTTCAAGAATTCCTAAGGAACATGGAGGTAGAAAGAAAGGAACAAAGGCTCAAGGAAAACGGTAAGCATTCGTTAACTTTTTATATTTAACGTAGAATGCTTTTTACAATTCGTCATTTTATTTTTCAGATGAAAAAATGGAATTTTAATTCAAAAATAATATTTTTTTTAATAAATTTACGGATAAAATTAATTTCTTTATCGTTTGAATAAATTTATAATTTTGTATCGTTCTAATAACATTTATAAATAAAATGTTAATGTTTTACAAAAAAAAAAATGTACACGTTCAATTGCTTCCCACACATCAAGATAAAGCGTCTTATAGACTTGACAGTTTGGCAAGATCGATTGCCAAGATTTCTAAAAAAAATCACTTTCATCCTGCTTGCATTTCTGGCTAAACCTGTTCACCGTTACTTTTTCTTCTTTTTACGTGAAATACTGCACCAACGTGCAATGATTGTTTCAACAACTCATTCGAATCTCATTGTCCTCCTCTTAATCCCATAAAAATTTAAAATCTTGGCACGAATGTAACGAGAAGCGAGATCATTCGCAGAAATTGTAACCAGCTTGAATATATTACTTTCCCATCTAATATTTACACGATTAACAAGAAATAAATTTTTAGAAAAAATATATTACTTCTACACTCGAATATGAAATGAGAATGTAAAATACCATCTTTCGATAAAAGCAAACGTTTGTCATTGGGGGAAGATGAATGTATTTATGGAATAAATTTCCTAGAAGAATATGTACATATTTAATATTTGCATCTGAAAATTTCAATTATTTCCAGATATATTATTACGTTATATGAATGTGTTCGTTAACGATCCTCAAATAGATATATTGTTACATATTCGTTCGTACGCAATTCTTTCATTTACTTAGAGGTGAACTTTCTCGCTACAATTTCTGAGTGACGAACGACGTTTCAATTACGAGAATTTCATGCTACGTGTTTTTAACCAGCTGACAGAAAGAGATCACAGAAGAAATAGGTTAATTGTCTTCAAAACACATGGCCAGTCATTACGCTCTCTTGGATAAAACTAAATGGATTCGGTTCCTGTACCGATTCGTTTCTCCACTATTCGCCGTTATTATTCACACTTTTTCTACGTTTTCCTCGAAAACAGGATTCACGTTAACGCTGTTCCGATATAATCGCGAGATTCCGAACAAGAGAAATTGATAATTTATACTCGTGATAATTTATACTCTCTTTCACAATCTTTTTCGGTCTATTTTCTTCTCATGTGGAATAAAAAAATCATAGAGGAGCACAATTACACGAATTTCTCTAAACAATATGTTCACCTATATTTTTTTTTCTTTCGCTCATCTGATAAATTTCGATCATCACGCAACACAGATCAATTCCAAGGCGATTTCGCATCCTTTTTTGTTTTTATTGAAATTGAGGATTTTATCGGTCGAGACACATATTTCGAAATATCTGAAGCTTCGAAAATTTTTTACTTTTAAGAATGACTAATAATAATGCATAATTGACACCTCGAAAATAATGTAGCTACTATAATAATACATACTAGCTCGTATCGAAGTGGATACGACGATCTCGCTAAATCTTACTTTCAATCGTTCGATAATAAAACGTAAACTGTACCGGTACTTTCCAAGCGCATACAACATTGAAAATTTCAACGGATGTTTACAACTTCATTCTACTTTGTTTTACATCCGTTGCAATCTCGATTTCAACCATAATTTTGACGAAAGTATTCGAAAGTTTACCGGTTCCTAGAGACAGAAAATTTTAACCTAAAAAAAGTCGTGAAAGTTGTCTCGCGAAATCAGCTATTCGTCAACTTGATAACGAGATCCACCTTATCGATCAATCGACTTTTCTTTTTTATTCGATACGTAGGATCCGTTTAATTCGATCGTTCCGCCAGTTTTTCATCAATTAATCATAAGATACCTAATCATAAGATGTGGAATCGTCGTGTGACGAATAGAGGATTCGAGCACAGTGGCAAGAAAGT